GCTATTTATTATTAGCATTATTCTTCCGACGTCTGATTTCTTTTTAATTATAGGAAATGCGATTTTCTAAGGTACATAAACTTTTGGGATTGACTATATAGCCAATACATCCTTAATCAATCTAAAGAAGTCGGCAAACAATTTCTCACATCTCCTCACATTCTTCTCAAGACGATAATTTTAATTCAAGATGTTTCAATTAGTAAAATCATAATGCGTGTATAGATTTTGGTGAAGAAAATACGTAATTTACAGCAGACATTTGGGCTTAGTTTTTGGCCAAATATCGTTCAGCAGAATACGACAATAAAACGCTATAAAATCCTATTCTGCTAATTTCCGTTCGCCTGTTTCACGCTTCTGTAATATGTCATCCTTCTGCGTACGTTTGAACATCGAACTCGCAGTACTCAACCCTAATTTTTTAAGCTGGCGAGATAAACAAGGAAGACTATAAATGAGGCCGAACCGCTTATCAGACGTCCTTTGACTCTTGTCGAAAACTGGAGCGGAAGGCTGCGTCGTTAACGAATTATGTTGGTCGAGAAAATAGGTTACGCAGCGATCATATACTGGGGCTACCGATTTTCTCGCGATATAATATACCGTGTTTACAAGAATTTTTTCTCTGTGCCCGTGGTCGACTTGTGTTCCATGGGTAAATGGGCGGTCGTCACAGGATGCTCGCACGGTATCGGAAGAGCGTACGCAGAGGCACTAGCCAGAATAGGGATGAACGTGATCCTCGTAAGTCCGGACACGGAGAATTTAAAGGCAATCGCTAGCAACATCGAAGCGATGTACAATGTCAAGACAAAAGTGATCAAGCTGGATCTCTCCGAAGGTCTGGAGACATATAACGTGATCGAGAAAGAGATGTTCGGCTTGGAGATCGGCGTGTTAATTAACAACCTCGGTATGTCATATCCGCATCCGGAATATTTCCTGGACCTCCCGCACAAAGAGAAGATCTACATGAGCATCGTTCACTGCAACGTGATCGTTGTTACGAACATGTGCCGTATATTGTTACCGCAAATGGTAGTCAGAGGAAAAGGAGTGATAGTGAATGTGGCGTCGATGGTGGCCGTGTTACCCAGTCCTCTGTTAACGGTGTTCGCGGCCACGAAAGCCTACATCGTGAAATTTAGCAGAGACCTACAGATAGAGTACGGGAAACACGGGGTGATCATACAGTGCCTGTTACCAGGCACGGTGACTAATCACACGACGGATTCACCCAGATCGGGGTGGATGGTCCCGACGCCGGAGAAGTATGTTCAGAGCGCGATCAAAACCATAGGCAAGGCGAATGTAACCACAGGATTTCTGCAACACTCCATTCTGATCGGAATTATAAAATTCATCTATCGAATATCCCCGAGTTCCATTATCGTTTGGATGATTAATATCATGGAGGGAAATCGAAATAATGCGCTACGTCGTTACGTCGGATGACTTTGTAGAAATATACCAAGTTTTATTTAAGGAAATCGTTCTTGTTGACTTTTATTATTCTTTATTGGATAGGTAAATATTTATTATAAAATTGATAGAATTTTGTTCTTTCGTAAACACAGTTATATTAAAAGAAAGATCACCGAGGAGATGCTACTAAAAGTGGCGGTGCCCGTGTAATCGCTGAAGAGCGTATGGGGCTCAATTGGGCTCAAGACACAGTCGGTGATCGTTCTTTTCGGTGTAGTTAGAAGGAAATTGCGTAGGACCTTTCTTGTATCTGGAAACTGTTCAGCAGTATTCAATACCGACGAGTGATTTGCTTTCTATTTTATATTCTGGTGGCAACATATATAGGAAATATATAAAATAAGTAGGATTCAAAATTTTCAGGAACTTGCGTATTGGCGTATAGAGGTTTGCCAATGTACAGGCGCATTTCGCCAAATTTTTGGAGCGTTGGAAAACGAGGCTTCTCATCTTTATTTTCATTTAATTTTAATTCTCTTGATCATTCTTTAAATTTGTTGAACGCTATAGACGTGTTCTAATTTTATTTTATACCAACAGTAAGTATATAGATAATATAGAACGTGATAGCACAGAGATGTTCGTGCATAATAGGTAAAGAGTTCTTATATTTCGATAGATCGAATGCTTCCTCCAGTTTCGGATTTCGTAGTTTTGTTTTGACTCTGTGCTCGTATTTATAAAGAATAATAATTCATTTTATTCGAAAGTGTAATATATTATTATTTCGGAAACAGGTTTGTTTTTAAGTGGCGTAATATTTTTAGAATGATACGTCAAATGGTTGCCTTCTCAGTATGTTGTTAAAATACCTTATTTTCTCACTATAATTATTTATACGTACCATTTGCCCGAGAAATTTTTCTTTATTTCATGTATGCTAAACGTACACCCAATAAGTATTATAATTAATTAGTAGAAAATACATATTATACTGGTTAACCCTTTTACCGGCTAAACAATATTCTCGTAATAATATTTAACAAATACGATTTAATATTCGTGTAATGCTACTTACAGTATTAAGATTTTCAGATATTATAATTTCCTTTTAGGCAAGTTTCAAGCATAAAATAAAGGAAGGAAAATTGTTTAATATAAAATCCAAGATAAATACAATTATACGATATACACATTTGGTTTGTGCCAAAATGGATAGTTCTCGTTATTACGACAATCCATTTGAAGACTATCCTAATCCTACTGCAAATGCACTGGTGAATGCATCTGCTAACGATGTAATTCATTTTATTCTTCTATCCTCTGATAATCAATTTATACATTATTTATAAACTTAAGTGTACACATGTGCTTGTTAGATTAATGAAAATTATAAAGAAAGAATTGGAGTGAAGACAAAGGAATTGTTGGATCGATTGGAAGAGAAGAAAAATCATTGGACTCACAATGATGATAATTCCATGTATACTGGATCTGCAGGGATCGCATATATGTTTTACCATTATGGAAAATGCTTTAATGAGCCTGCTTACATTGATGTATGAACCTTTCAACATGTTATAATAACTAAGAACAGTGGATTGTGTCCTAAATGCATATTTCACTTGACAGAAATCAGTGGAACTGTTAAGGATATGTATAGATAAGTTCAGACACAAACGGGAAATCACGTTCTTGACTGGTGTTGTAGGACCATTGACTATGGGTGCTGTTGTATTCCATTCACAAGGCTATCGTGATGAAGCTCAAAATGCAATTTCAAAGTATACATACTTCAGTATTATTTTGTTACATTTTCACACAATTTCCAAACTTGAGATTTCTTTACACTTCTTTTTACAGAGTGAAGACATTGTCCTCTCTTGTTCTGAATGAGAGTAGCGACTTGCCAGATGAGTTACTGTATGGAAGGGCTGGTTATCTGTTCGCCCTTCTCTTCTTGAATTCTCATATATCTCCTGCTCCCATAGAAGATGAGCTTATTAAACAGGTATCATTCCATGACCATTAAATCCCGAACAAATGCAAAATTGTTCTTTTGACCAAGATTATTAAAAGAATATCATGTCAGGTGATTGCACTGATAATTAAATCTGGAAATCTGTATTCTGCTTCAAGAAAATACAAAACTCCTTTGATGTATATGTGGCATGGAACTGAATATCTCGGTGGTGCACATGGATTGGCTGGAATACTTTATCTGTTGCTACAGGTACATTATTTAACGTAGTATCCCATAGGAACAAAAAAAATATAATTGTTCATTTTATAGGCACAGCAATATTTGACGCGACAACAATTAGAGAAAGATATAAAGCCTGCGTTACAGTTTCTTAAAAGCATACGATATCCTTCCGGAAACTTTCCATCCTCGATCGGAAGCAACTCTGATAAACTGATACATTGGTGTCATGGAGCGCCCGGAATGACAATGCTGTTCTGTTTAGCTTACAAGGTTTTCATTTATATTATAGTTGTTAATATCATTAATTTTTGTATACGTAATTAAACACATTCATCTACAGATATACCAAGATGAGAGTTACTTGCAAATTGCTTTGCAATGTGGGGAGGTGATTTGGGCCAGAGGATTGCTGAAAAAAGGACTTGGTATATGCCATGGAGTAGCCGGGAATGCATACTCATTTCTGAGTTTGTACCAACAAACGAAGGTTGCTTCGAATTTATAATAATCATATCGTGGTTATATGATGAATATTAACAAACTATTGATTTTGTTTTCAGGATATAAAACACCTTTACAGAGCTTGCCAGTTCGCAGAATGGTGTATGGATTACGGAAGGCATCAAACCAAATCTCCCGACAGGCCGTTCTCATTGTTTGAAGGTACTGTTATACATTGTTTTAGTCTTTTACTGATATTTCTATCAAACACGTGCCGTTTCAGGTCTCGCTGGTACAATTTACTTCTTGAGTGACATGCAACAGCCGCTCTCAGCAAAATTCCCTGGCTACTCCATTTAAGACTAATACTCTTTCGTAATAACTGTTTACTTCCCATGCACTTTTGTCGAATAGAAAATTATTTAATAAATGGATTCACGAACTGATTTACCATTTACTATTTGTCTATACGTTACATACTTAGAGTATGTAACTGTACACTTCACGAACAATAAATCTCATGATATAAACAAAAGGAATCTATAGTGTTTTATTGCATTGAAAAGAGTAGTATACTTTTTGAAAATAAAGTAATCAAACTAACATTGCGTAAACCATTGTACAAAAATATACATATATAAGAAATAACAGATTATGCGAGAAACCTATCGGAAATCTATTGCTGAATCAGAATTTTATGAACTAATTTATATTATTTTGGTATTATTCTACGTCGCGGAATGTATTATCGTTTCTTTGATACTCTGACAATGGTAAAAGTGAAACGCGGATCAGGTGCATCGTTCGTCGCTACATATCGGTTAACAGGCCACTAATATTCATGACGGGTCGTGAGTTGGTATTTGTAAAAGCGTAAGGAGAAATGCTTAAAAACCAGTAGTTTCATTGCATTCAAACACAAATTATTCGTGTATTATAAAATTATCGAATCAGTGTATGTATAAGGAATAACAAAAGTAAGAAAAGTAGTGACAATAAAGGAAAAAACATGATTTGGCTCTTTCAATAAAAATTCAAAATCAATAAGCAAGGAGATGCCATTGGTGATCGTCTAGCATTCTCCGTCTGAGGAAGATTCACCGGACGATGCTACGAAAGGAAAAGTGATGTTCTTTCTTGCAACTTCAAATTATTTAATTGGAGGATAGGGATCCTCCGATCCAGTGGACATGAGGAGTGGTGCGAAGCGAGCATCTCGCGTATAAAAGCCGCTTCTGCGGCCACGCGCTTAGTTTCGTTTCACGGCGACCGATTTCGAAACCCCCTCCGATACGAACTGCCGTTCACGAGATCATTTCGAATTCACGGGCTCCTTTTACCGTTAACCCTGCGGCGTTAACAGGTTGCGTGAACGCCAGGGAGTTGTTATTTTTTGCTCGAACATCGTCGGGACCAGTCTCGAACGTTCGCGCTTGTCCCATTGCACTTGTGCGTTCAATCCCTAAGTGGTTCCCGATCAACCAGTCGACGTAAGTTAAATTTTTTTTAATTTGTAAAGCTTGATGAGAAAAATAAAAGATAGAAAAATTGAAGTATCTATGTATGGATATAGTATCTAATGTTGCGATGCATGTCGTTAAAAAAGATTGATAGAATCTTATTTAAAATTAAATGAATAAGAAAGTTGGTTCGCGAGGCAGAAAGTCGTGCCTCGCGTTAATTTGTTTCTTGCGCGAGTGAAAGTATAGGATACAGATCTTCCTGGAGTACGAAATTAACAAATACACACAATAAACTAATTTCGTACAGTAATGTACAAGGATGGAAGCGTAATAGTTTATAAATGATGCGATTTTTTAATTTTCAGATGGAAGTTCGTTTCGCACTGTTAGCGATGCTGTTCGTTATGGGAATGGCTGTGGCATTTCCACAGAAAGACGGACAAATTTTTAGTAACGAGGCTATAAAACAAGCACAGAACACTTATCTCATTCCGAAGGATGCGACAATACAGAAGGTTCAGGAAGGTATCGAACTGGCCGCCTACGAATCCATTCCTGGCGACCAGAAGATCAATCTTTTCGAGATCCTCGGAGAACATGTGCCACCGGAAGTTGTAAACAATCTTCAAGCCCAGATCGATCAGATAGGACGGAATTAGACTCGGTTTTCCTCCCCTTCACTATTGTTATAGCATCCTTGTAAAAAACGCTTTAGACCTAAGTTTCGTAACAAATATTTATAAAATGTGATAAGTTCTTTTTTATATAAACGAACTTAAGACTTTTTCACTTTTCATAAATAAACAGCTGAAAAAATGATGCTTATTTCGTTATTTAGAAACTTTCTTCACGACAATGGTAAAACATTCAAACAATAAATGTTTTAATTATAAAAACGTTCGTTTGAAAAATGATGATTATAATTTATTTTCCTCGACTGTTATAAAATTTATTACATACACTTAAGAATACTTGAAACTGGCCTTCCGCCAACGTCGGTCGTAGAAAGAGTATTACAACATACGCTTCGTGTAACATCATTCATCGTTGAAAGAAAAGAAAAGAAAAAGTAGAAGTGTTAGTCGCAAATTGTGAAACGTCGAACTAAGTCACCTGTGTCGGAATTATGTATGTATACCTAGCGTTGTCGTGGAGAAAGCTGTGGAACCAGTGACCAGAGGTGTACTTTCACTTCACCTATATTTATATCGTTATCGAAATGGTTCCTCTTTGGCATTTATTACATATCGTATCGCCAAGTGACTCGATCACAATACAAAATTGGACGTCGGGCTTCTCTGCCGTCGCGTTATCAAACGCAAGAAGAGAAAAAGTGAGTCAAGGATTCGGACAAATTTCGTAAACTTACACTTTCGTTTCACTTTCACTTTCTTCTGAACCTCTGCCGACGTTCCTCTCATCTTCGTTCATCAGTCAACGAGAGATTAATTGCGTAACGTCTCAAGGACGAATGAGTTCTCATGCAGACGTATAAACTTTAACGGAAATCGTGACCATCCGTCAATAAATGACAAATGTTTCGTACATTCATGATAAATAACTTAAAAAGTATTTATTTTGTTTACCAAGGTACAAATTCTCATAACTATGCGAGTTAAACTTATCAAAGATTTTGATCCATTTCAGCTTTCTCCGGTTAGGTTTAATGTCTATATCCAGGAGTATCTCATACACAATAGTTACCTCTAGTGCATTGTCTTGCATTGAGGGCATGCGTTACAATAATACCTGTAAATTGTACCCTATTCTGTTTACCATACTTGCAGATTATTTTTTTTGCTCGTTCAATCAAGACAACCGGATAAAATGAATTACAGTTTTCTTTTTTTTATATATACTATCTGTACAATGAATGTCTTCACGAAACTTAATAAGTTATTACAAAATATGCTTCAATACTACTAGCAAACGAACAATGGAATGAAATGATGCGTGTTAGTAAAACAACTACACTATATAATTAAACTCGACATTCTTTCTTAAAATCGACTTACAAAAAAAGAGAGATTTATATACAAGTGACAAAAATGTGTCCGTACATAAATTTACGTTAAGTTACCCGTACAAGTTCGTACATATTACATTCGCTATCACCATGTGCTACCGAGTGTTTGTCACCAGGTAGCACGCTATCGAACTTTTTTCTAATAATATCAACGAATCGTTTGCTAACAGCTTAAATGAATCAATGCAAGAAAATGTACTATTTTTATAACGTAATTATATGACGTACCGTAATTAAGAAAGCTTACTGTAGGGTCAACATTCGGTTTTTGTGTTTTCACATGTGCTTCACCTCCAACTTTTAAATCGTCTTTACTTCCTGTAATATATACAAAGCAATACAAAAAATGTATACTGACCTTAAAAAGGTATCGTAGAGACTATCTATACGTACTTGGACTTCTTTGATCCCCTGTCGTTTCTGTCTGAACTGTCCTCGCGAGATCGCTTTTTAGCATTAGACGAAGAATGGCTGGACTTGTGTCTGTCATGCTTGTCGTGCTTGTCACTTTTCTTGGGGCTAAACAGAAATAAACGATCGACTGTAACATCATAAGCCGCGGACGTATTTACATTAATCACCTGTGTCTGGACGATTTGGAAGGAGACACTTTCTTGTGTGATCCCCCACTCCGCGATCGATCCGATCTTTAATTATTGAAACATATACTTAACACAATTTCGTAGCAAAATCATGTCTATCTATGTCTAATTGGTTCGCGAAATTCAGAATTATGTGAACCTGTAGCTTTTTACCTGTGCTTGTCGGATGACGACTTCTTATCTTTACTGCTCGACGAACTCTTGCTTCTCGAACTGGAAGAACTCTTGTGTTTTGAGTTGTGCCTGGGAATCATACGCGTAGGTTAATTTGAAAGCTTAATAAAAATCAGTTTAAACAACTTACCTGTCTTTCGATGGTGAAGGTGAATTCCTTCCTTTCTTCTTTTTGCTTGAATTGTAATCATCGTGGAATCGGTCGTCTCCTCTTTCTTTGTCTTCTTCGGCTGCTTCTCGTTCCAGATCTGACCAGTCTTTACCAGATTCTTCGGAGCTGCCCAATTCCTCTTCTAGCATTGTAATCATAGGAAAAGTAGAATATATTAATGTATGAAAGAAAAAGTATTTTATTTCCGTGGAAATATTCGTACCTTCGCTGTCAGAGTTCTCTGATGCTTCAGAGTATTCAGAATCATCATCAGATTCTTCTTCAGTGTCAAAATCAGATGGCTAAAAGCAGAACACCCAAATTATTAGTCGCAATAAATTATATGTATGTATATATTTAATTAAATCACACACCTCATATGCATCGTCTTCCTCCTCCTCCTCATCTTCTACATCCTCGTTCTCTGCATCGCTTTCTGGATCCAAGAAACTCCAACCACCATTGTCGAAGAAACCTTCGGGATCGTCTGTGATCGTTTTCATAATTTTCGTCCAGTTCAGAGATTGTACACCTTCCGAATATCTGATGTCGCATGAACTAAAAGGAAAAATATGCTTATACTTCGTCTACGTCCCAGAACGATATTAACGGAAAAAAATTAACGTACTTCAACCACTCCTTTACATGATCCAGCATGTTCATAGGAATGGCATTTAAAATCGCAACTTTTCTATGATAATCTTTGAAGACAAAAATCATATCAAAGTTTTTCAGGTGGAATTGTACTCTTTCAAAATGAACTAGTTCAACATCTTCCAAAGTGATAACAAACGGAGGCTAGAAGGCAAAATAGATATTACGATCAGTACGTTGTACCATGTATATAGGACTCTGATATAAATGATTAAACTCACCCATTCTGTGAGATTTACCAAACAACCACTGGTCGGTTGCAAAAGAACAGTACTCCTAAATGGCGCGCCAGGGAATCCTAATTCTCGGAAAGGCGTGTCGAATTCTATTTCTTGTTTGGTCATACTTTCAACCTAAATATTTATAGTTTCTTGAAATTACGTACTTGTTTTCGTGGAATTAAACATATGAGATATCAAATATTACCTTTTCACAAAAACTTTTAAATGCAGTTTTTAACTTGTGCCTAAGCTCTCGTTCCGATTGTTCAGCAGCGAGATCGTCCCGATCATGCATGTGTTGATGTTTCCCTAAATCTGTTGTGATTTCACCAACCTCCGTATAAAATTGTACATCTACGTGTTTCTTTTTACCAAACATAATTGCATGCTAAAAAATTTGCAAATGATTAGTGGTCAGTCATCGAATATGATACGTGAAAAAAATAAAACTGGATATGTACTTTTAAATGAAAATGAAGCAGTATTATCATTTCACCATCGCATGGTTGGAAAAAGGCATTCTTAATGTTATTATAAAGAATATCAACTTTGTCTCCTCTAACCGAAGTGTAGCGAAATCCATTTACATGTGCCTCTAATCCTCCTGTCATTCTCTTTGAAACAATGTTTGGTCGAATGTATAAGTCTTTTAGTTTCGGATTACCCTTATTTTGAGACAGTATTAAAGTGTCTTGTTTGACCAGATCTTCTTTCTCCCTCTCTTCGGCTTCTCTGTTTTTGAACTTCTTCTGCACCTCTTTGATCAGTCGGAAGGCTGTGTTTAAATTAGAAGAAGGTGCTGAAATTTCACCGGGCTCCTTGGTGTTTGTACTCCGATATGTTCTAAACACGAGTATTGTTAATACATTCACATCAATTGCTATTATAAATATGACAAAAAATAAATAATAGATTAGTAATTTATACTAACACTTCTTTAACGAATGTAGCATCAGGTTGTGGATAAGATCCACCTTCGTTTCGACCCATTGTTGCACCGGGATGGAAGAAATTTATTCGGAGATAAGTATAATCTCCTTCTACCGACTGTGAAATATTTTTAATCGTGGATATGTGGAACGGTACAGGAATTCCAAAAATGGGCAGAATTACAGTTTCGTACTTCTTATCTACGAACGAGAAAAAAGAAACATATACAATGAAATTTACATAACATACGTCAAGAAATTAAGCATTATCCTTACCAACGTATAATTTCAATTCTTTTACTTCCGGTTCTCGTGGCATGTGACTCAAACTTTTGTACGATACTGTAGATTTTCGTATCTTCTCCTGTTCCTTCCCACCAGATTGCTGTGCCAAACGAGCCTTCGCAACTTCATTCAACTGTTGAGCTAATTCCTTTTGATGTTGCTTTCTTTTCTCCTCCGAGCTGTGCTCTGTTCTTAATTTCGATTCTATTACAGCTGTTCTCTTTCCACGTCCAAGGATCTCAGGCTTAGGTTCATTCTCCTTCCCACTTCCTTCTTCTTCGTCGTCTTCCTCATCTTTAACAAATATTCCAATATTTTTTACCTTCTTCTTAGATGGTGTGAAATTTGTAGCCGGTTGTCCCTGAAATAAATTTATTCCATTACAGTTTAATTATAGATATATTATATGAAAGAGTATTTAACAAATTTTAGTACCTCATTAACCATAACAGTATCACCGATGAAAAGAGCATAAACCTTTCCTTCTTTATCGGTGGCTTCTGGATTTGTGAGATTCGCTAATCCGACGTTGACGTTAAATACCATGCCTTTTTTCACTACCGCGTGAGTTTTTGGACCAATAAGTAAAGAGCTCTCTCTGAATTCGATGCCCATTGCAAAGCCGAAATTCTTTGTTAAATGATCCAACATATCCGGCTTCTCGTCTTTTACGTATTTAACACCGGCTTCGTAAACTTCACTTATTTTCACTCCGGCTACTAACTTTTTAAAAATTTCTTCTTCCAGTTGCAGAAGGAAATTGTAGCTATCCTAAAGGAAAATATAATTATTAAACATCTTTCATCCAATGTTTAAGTAATTTATTACTTGATATTCCTCTATGAAAATTTACCTCAATGCTTTTAGTGGGATTTACCAATAATGTTCGAACAATATTGGAACAGTAAGACTTGTAACGTGCTCCGAGAGAACAGACAATGACACCGAAGTGCAACGTATTTTTGTCGCTAACGACACTGAACTTTAGAGAATAGTTCCCACCACTTTGTATTATGGCCGGATAACACATATCTACTTGGGTAACATCGACACCAGTTACATACTTTTTATTTGTTATAGCCGCATCTACACCCTCTGCTAATTTTGAATGTTTCACTTTCTAAAATAGAAAATGGTCCAACATTAGAATAAAATACCAAGTGCACGTGTATCTTTTTTTTTTACAAGTACATTTCTGAATGAATAAGTCAAATACCTTGTCGGAATCGATGATTTCCATGATCTGATCTTTTAGATACTTTGTAAAGACATCCACAGATACTAAACATGCTTTCTTTATGGTATGAATCTCGGTATCCTCTTTTGGACACATAACATATGCTGCAGCAGCACTGACATCGACCTAGTGATTATCGTTATTACAAAATGATTGTATGTTCGCAGTTTATCGTTGTACAGAGAATTGTAAGACAATAATATCACACCGTATCAAAAGATTCTGTCTTCAAAGTAGCCCGCCATGCATCCATAAAAGCACCTGGGTAATTTTCTTTTGAGAAAACGCCTAATGTTTTACCCTTTTTACTCTGCTTTATGATTTCAATAAGTTTGCCGAAATTGGCTTTATCTTCATCATTCTTTTGTGGAAAAAGGAAATTGACAAATATTAAAAAATATGTAAAATGGTCAAGGAATTATGCAT